GATTGAGGCTGACAAGGCTCCCACTCATCAATCTCAGAATCCTCTTCCTCATCTTCTTCAGAGTCATCTGTGGAGTCCGTAGCACCGAGGGGACTGGTGGGGGGCTCTGCCATGTCCGCCATGGAGGTGAGCGAGTTGGAAACAGACAGCTGCTCCTGTGTGTTTGATCGTGTCAGAGAGATAATTCTCAGTTTGTTGTTCTACTTATCGTAAGTTCTCTTCAGGTTTGGCATATTCATGTTCTTCTCTGACCGTTTTACACAAATGAGACTAATTATTTTCTGAACATGTAAAACAACAGCTGCATAAAAATGCGTTTTCACCTGCGACACTGGCTCCAGGATCGCTTGTGGGGCGTCTGCTACATTACTGAGAACGTGCAGATTGGCAGTGTTCATGTTCTGTCCGCTGGGCAGCAAAACGGTGACCTACAGATGACATTCAGTGACGTTATGGTTCTGTAAAAACAATACATCACACAGCAAGCTCGCAATGTGACAGTGCCTGGTAAACACCAACCTGCTGGGTTGTACCATCCTGCTGAATGTAAGCCACCTGTGGCTGATCAGCAAATACAGTCTGAAACAAAAAGGTAAAACAACAGTGTGAACAAATCATGCATGTTATTAATTTTTCATATTATTTGATGTTTTTTTAAACTATCCATTAGGTCTAATAGTTGCAAATGACATCCAACCCCATTTGTCCATTCATGCATGTTGCTTTTCTTGAGACTGTCCCCCAAATACATATAATTTCAGCAGAACATCTCTCCTCTAAATGAGGCTTAGTCTTGCCTGAGTGCCATCTGCAGGATGTATGTAGACCAGCGTGTGCTCTGCAGACTCCACAGAGGCAAAGGAGTTCCCGTCTGCTGTGTAAACCACCTGCTGCTGTCCCCGGTCCGCCTGGTCTCCGCTGTACACTATCTGGGCCACTGTGCTGCCTTCGAAATGCACCTGAAACACACGTCCACAAGTCTCAAAGGCTTTGAACCACCTGCAGCACTAGTGCACTCTCTGACTGTGACTCAGCACACATTAATAACATGCTATTTTTGAACACATCATCTTGATGTAGAAGGCAGTATTAGGCGTCACCACCCAGCTGCAGTTCTCCTAAAAACCGATGTGCACTATTTGTCAGGAAGGTTGTTACAGGTAGACTGTTGCATGACCCCCTTGTTCATCTTGTTGATGTAGGACAGGCAAGATCAATCAAAAAACTAATGGTATTGATGATAAAGCAGAATCTAAACATCTAAAACCACATCTTTTTAAACTGGCATATTTAGTCTGCTTGTTTTCCATTTGGCCAACCTACATAATGCTTTATTCACTGTTAATTGTATTGATTTTTGTATCTCTGCATTGTAAGGTGACCTTTAGTGCTGTGAAAGGCACCTATAAATAAAACATGTTATTATTATTATTAGAAGCTGAAAATCATCCTCTGAAGCATCAAATGTACGACATCCTTTTCTACATCTTGAATGTGTCCGTTCGGAGGCCGTTCAGACCTGTGTGGCGTTGTCTGAATCACTGTTTGCAGCCTGACTCCACACAGCGGAGGGCTCCTGCTTGGTCTCCATGGCAGCTCACTTCACTCCTGAGACAGCCAGGGAGGCCTGTAATGCACAAGGACAAGAGGACGTGGGTGATTAAGACAAGATGACACAAGTTACTGTTTTATTAGTCCCACAATGAGGCAATTTGCAATATTACAGCAGCAAGAGTCTAATTAGGCATCAGTAAGTAATAAGTAAGTGTAAGATTGTAATCAATAACAATGCATTGTGTGAGGAGGCTGACAGGGTCATATATATGTATCTGTAACAGAAATGTGCACATGTGAGTGGATTTCCATGGATGTCTTTATTGTCACAGCTTTTCTCTGAGTGATTATGTGCTGGACCACTTTATTTGTGGAGAAGCTGCAGCAGTGAGGTCAACCTGAGCTGAGAGACACCGGATTCAAACCCGCGTGTCATCCGAGGCAGATCACAGAGTGTCCAGGAGCCAAAATAGAGCCGCGTGTCACCGCTGCACACAGAGCGGTCACACGGAGCATCTCAGCGGGGGTACGAAGGGAAGAACGCGGTGTGTTCCCGAGGCCGCATGAGGGGGGAAATGTGCCTAAAAACAACCGCATGTCGCCACAAAATCTCCGGCGAAGAGCCGAGAGACTCCGAACACGTTCAGAAACCCACTTGGTATAATCAATGACAAATTCAATCCCCCCCTATTTTAACCCTGCAGGTTCTCGGTCCCAACCGGACCATACCACAAAAAGCAGCGCCGCAGAAACCCGGGCATTTACTGCAGCGCGACGCTAGCTCCACGGCTAAATAGTCCCGATGTGACGGTGACCGCGCAGACATTTCAAACTTGTCGGGCACCGGGGCACGGAGCACGGGCTGACATCTCTGATTAAAGATGGTTTCGGGCGGATTACTATTTGGAGAGACCCACCCGTCCCCCGCCTCTAGTTGGGCCCAGCCCTGCCGGAGCGTCCGAGAACAAGGAAGACCCGGGCTCCATTTTGGGTGGAACTACCAACAACAGCAGCATCGGAGGAGACGCGACGGGAAAAATACGATTTGAAACCGGCGCAAATCCACTGAAAACACCGCGAACATTTAACGTATATCCGCAGAACTGCTCCAGAGAAGCGGGGCTGCGGAGGCGCTCGTGCAGAAATCCCCGCTTTTCTTACATTTAGTGGAAAACGAACAAGTTGTTCTTACCTCAGAGTTGGTAGCTGCAGAGATGGCCGCATTGCATATATTAACATAATCTGCCTGGCTACACGGAGGAGCGCGGCCTCCGATTGGTGCTTACCGACCATGAGGAGCAGAAGTAGCTTCTGGTTTTATTTAGTTGTTTTATTTAAAAGATCCAACACAGTTCGTGCGCACGTTTAAATTTTATAAATCGTGAATCTTTAATGTTTCCCACAAAAAACCTTAAAAAGGTGCAACTACGATTTACTGATCACTTTTATGTCATTGCAGTTACAACCAATCAGAAAAATCATACACCGGAGTCGTCCAATAGAAATAAACCTCTCATCGAATCCTTTTTTATTCCTCCAAGATGGAGATAACGTCTCTTTGTCTTTTTACATCTATATAGCATTTTTATACAGTATATATTGTTTCACTCTTTTCTATTAAAAAGTGTCAAATAACGTTTTTTCAATCAATGAAATCGGAGTATCTGAATCACATGAGGTTGGTCATAGAAGGGGATTGCATGACAGAATGCTAATACTTCCGGTCTTTATTAGTAAACAGAATTTAGCACAGATAGTTCTGCAGAGGCCCCTGAAAATCACATGTGATTCATAAAAACTTATTGATGATTGGTATCTCCTGCTACAAAGTGTTTGCACCACTGTGTAACATTCAACATTCAAATAAACAGCCCAACAGAGCCCCCCCACTCCACCAGCCTGTGTGTGTCTACATCATTTATTTATGTGTTATAGTTTAATGCAAGCTGCTTTGTTGCTTATAATTGTTTCATTTTCCCTGAGTACCAAACGATGTCATAGTCACACAACCATGTGTCTAGTGCATTCAAAAAAAGCTAAATAAATAAAGGAGACAAAGAAAGATAACGAGTTGTGTCTGTTTTAATAAAGAATAACACAGAAAGATACATAAGAATGTGTGAGTCGTCTTTTTTTAACCTCTGTGGAAGATGGAATGATGATGAGAAAGAAACACACAGTTCAGAAATACACAAAGACAACATCAACAAACACATACAGTAAAGACAGAAGCAGACAAGAAATGGATGTTATTGAGAACATACCTGACATCGCTATGTAAGTGATTCCAACAGTACTGAGAGTCTGTACATTCCCATAGTGAAGAATCGTCAACAACTCTCCCCCTATAAACCAGGAGTTTTTTAGATAGTTGTTGGTAATAAAGACTTCATATAGTATATTAAGAATGCAGTCTCAAATTCTATTTAAAGATTTATACGTCCAAGTCCCTTGTGCAATTAAATGTATATATGAGAGGGATAGAGATTGTGTTAGTTGAGTTGTTAAAGCCAAAAATAGGCAGAGCAGTAATGTATGACCTGTTCTACCTGGACGACTGTTACCTGGGGAACTAAAACTGAAAATATTCTCCTTTCACTTTTCTTCCACAGGCGTTTTTGTGCCGAGGCATCCGCTGATCAAATTGACACGTCCCAAGATTAGACTTAACATGTGCAAATTCATTCTTTTCATTCATTCTAACACGTCTGTCGACTGCTCGGAATGTCCTGCCTGCAGCAGAAATTCAATTAACATGATGTTTTTTTCTATAAGCCACCAGAGAGAAACACTAATGAAAATCTAGGAGGAGAAAAAATGAGTTTGAGACAAAATAATCATGAAAGGTCAATGAGTGTGTGTGTGTGTGTGTGTGTGTGTGTGTGTGTGTGTGTCTGCCTCTTAATATAACCAACTGAATGAAGACATTTACATTTGTCAGACACATTTTCGAAACACAGAAAATTCCTGATGTCTGATCATTCGTGTTTTGCAGGCATCAATTTGACATCATCACTGAAAGTATTTTATAGTTATAATAGTTATAAGTATTATAACATATTTTAGTTACAAAATATGAATCCATTTTTATCAGACCTATCGAACACAAATTACAAAATACTATTTTGGATGTGTATTTTAAAATACATGCATCATAAATACTGCTCATCCCTGTGTAAAAAGACCGATCGGGAGATAGGGGGCAGCAGAGAGCTGGTGGGGGCAAAGCCCGGGAGGGGGCAGTAGAGAACCAGGAGGGGGCAGTAGAGATCCAGAGGGAGGGGGCAGYATAGGCCGACAGGGGGCAGTAGAGATCCAGAGGGAGGGGGCAGCATAGGCCGACAGGGGGCAGTAGAGATCCAGAGGGAGGGGGTAGCAGAGACCCAGGAGGGGGCAGTAGAGAACCAGGAGGGGGCAGCAGAGATCCAGAGGGAGGGGGCAGCAGAGATCCAGAGGGAGGGGGCAGCAGAGACTCAGCAGCCGCCGCCGCCACACAGCTCAGTGTGGGTTCACATTTCCAGAGGAGACAACTCTCAGTCCAACCTCCAACATTTTCTGCCGAGCTCCGGTAACAAAACAAACGGAGCAGGACGCGTCCCGCTCCCCGGGACACACCGACCAAGGACCGGGTTCTCTCCTTCTTCTCCGGGACACACACACTCAGAGGATACGAGTTCTTTTCTGTGGCACCGCCGGAGATCCTGGAAGATGGGTTCAGTCCCAGCGATATCGGTCCTCTTTCTGGGCATCGTGGTTCCAGCGCTGGCCGGGTACATTGAGGTACGTGATCGGGTCGTTTCCAGATTTATCTTCGGTTAAATCGATGAACCGGTGTTTGATCAATTCTTGATGGGCCTTTATTTGTCCCGTTTTCCAGAGGAGGCGTCTGTGGCTCCATTCTGCTGAAACGCACTATTAAATAACATCTGTGCTGTGTCGTATTATTGTGAATTATATTGAACAGGCTGTGATTACACCTCCAGACACAAGTAACGGAATTGATCCATATTTAAAAAACACTTATTTGACATAGTTTTAGGGCCTGAAGTTGGTTCTTTGCGGCAGATTCAACATTAGAGAGTGTTTCATAATCATATCAGGTGGTTTTACACTTTCCTCCTGCAGCAGTGTGTTGATGTTGAGTTGTGACCTAGGAAGGTTCTGTAACAAGATTATAGCTGCTGGGGTTTTGCAGCAGAGATCAAATGAAAGACAACTGGTGCTCTGTTAGGCCTGTGGGGACACACATAGACCTCCAACAATATGCCTTACACCATGTGTGTACCACCCTACAGGAGGAGATTACTTTCTTATTCAGTTTCCAGCTTTATGGCTCACCAGGACGACCTCTCTGATATCACACACAGGCGTCTGCATTCACTCTCTACTGGCTCTTAATGTCGTGCACTCACAAGTTTGTTGCCTGTCTTGCTATTAAAAGCACCAAAACACTGCACAAGTCCCATTTGTTAGGCCAAATGTGGCTCCTCCTGTGCAAACACACCCACTCACACATGTGCACACTCTTCCTGAGCTCCCTGACTTCCTATTTCCCAACTCGATCTCCAGTTATTGTCCCAACGCCTGCAGTGTCAGACGTGTGTGTCATCGGGCGACACTGCACCCATTTTCAGAGCAAACCGTCTCAGCGAAGACCCCCCACCCCACACACACACACTGCCCCTCAGAGGGTTTACACCAGCGTTCTTGCTCACAGTTGAAAAGCCCCACGACAAAATATTTTAACAAGATATCTCCTCCTGGCATGGCTGTGTGCTGTGCAAAGTGGTTATCAGGAGCCGCTCCTCCCTGTCCCCCCCTTTGCGACAAAAATCCTCGGCCATTTTGAGGCGGTATTGGCTGCCAATGTGGGGGGGGAATAATGGTTATTATGTCCCCAACAAAATCTATGCTGCTGCACTCTCTCCACAAAGGCCTGTCCCCTCTGCGATGATTGTCTCCTCAGTCAGCCTTCCTGGCCGCACAGACTTGCTGATCGATACTGCACAGACTCTCCTGAGATGATTAATGGGAGGAATCACTACATTTTCTGATCAGTCACCGAGATTAAATTGAGGAATGTGCACTGGCTGCTGTGTGGCTACTTTCGAGGATTCCTGGGGCTTAATCAATGGCTGTATAGAAGGACGAGGTGGTTTGATACAGCATTTTTATTTGCACTAAATCAGACTTCTGCCTCATTGGCCCCTGAACGCACCACTGTTGACAGGAAACCTGAAACTCACTACTGAAGTGATAACAAACAAACCTGAACATTCACCTGTGGGTAAAACAAACATGAACACCTTTGAGTTGGAGAGAGAACAGAAGAAACCTACTGCCATAGAGAGATTCTATCATGGCTGACTCCTCAGGTTACATTCTTAGTTAACTAAAGTCAAATATTACACATCCACAGTCAGATACAGGAGGTTAAACATCAAAATGTTCATTTCTCTTCAAGCCTCGTTGACCTTTCTTGAGTAACTCCATAGTTTGGACCATGTCAGGCCTGCATTGTTAAAAACCAACTGCCTGCTGTCCACTGTTGTTGTCAGTGAAGCTGTTAGTCTGTGCCCCGCTGATGAGCTTGTGGACGCACAGCCGAGGTAGAGAGTGCTGTGCTGACATGCTGACTGCACTCACTGCCCCTGGACCTTGAGCTTCAATTTACGATCCAGCATTGAGCTCCACGGAGACGCTGTCTTACTGCCTCTCAGGGATGGTTTATTCCCTCTCGTTCAGCATGTCACTAGCTCCTCGTCTCTTTGTGCGCAATGTGGTGGTCGAGATGTCATCGGGCCCCGGGACGGCCCTCTTGTTTCTCAGTTCCTCCTTTTGTAAGCGTTTGGGTTCAGCCAGCTCCTTCAGCTGTGTAAACGGTTTTGTTTTGTCAGATACCTGTGAGAGTGCCAGATTGTGACCTTTTGTTTCTTCAGCTGTGCCCCCACCCCCCATCATCTCAGCATCTTTGCTCTGGTGATTTATTGCGCTTTACACTCTCGTCCTTTAATTTCATATCCCCTTTTTGTAACAGGGTTTCATTTCACACTCTTGTTCACTCGCTTCCTAGCTGAGCAGCTGTTTCCTTTTCTGGAGCTAATGTAGTAGAAGGCCAGAACCACGCAGCAGGTTTACCCAAAGAACAGCATCACACCAAGGCTTTTGCTGATATGGTTCCCAGTGGGATTAATGGAAAACCGAATATGTGGAACAGTTAATGCATTCGGAACATTTTATTCTCTGCTGCCTTAAACTAGCAGAGATTATCACTGTCGTGACTCACTATGTGGAAATTACATTGTTATACAACACGTCAGATTTTTGTGTCATAAAATTTAAAAAGTATTGGTGTTTTCCTTCCACTGGGCCTTTTGCGTCAAAAACATCATGTGATTGAGCTTGTGTGGAAGTATATAAAAAAATAGAACTCGTGCTGGAGGAATGACTTTAGTTTTATAGCCTCTCTACACGTACCAGTGGCTCTAGTGGAATGAAGAAGTCGATCCAACCCACAGAAGAAGTATGAGAAAATTCTGTTCAGTGTAACCCAAAGAAATGACTGTGGTGCTGTGCTTATTGCTCTTTGATTGCAGTCGTCTTGCGGCAGCATTTTTCCTCTTATCATTCAAAGTCTGTGCCTGCTCAACTGTGCGTACTTAAATGCAACCACTGATACTAAAGTCTGCTCCTATGTGCTTCAGTGTGTGTGTATTTGCTCTGGATATGAGGCGATAATGAACAATTGCTTGTGAACAAATGGCCATAGTTGGCTGTGATTGTCAGGGCGGGTGCTGTGGAGCCGGCCGTTAGCAGGGGTGAATGATTCCCTATGAGGGTCTTTTGTGTGGTCCTGAATAGCCAGGACAACGCGGGGTGCTGTTACCATACAGAGGTGATCAAGATATGGAGCAGAGACGAGGGCGATGGCAGACTGTTGGCAACAATTCACGCCTGAAAAAACCCAAAACAACAATCAGTAGCACTTGAGTTTGATAATGATCTTTCAGTCCATTGTTGTGGGTGATGGCGCACAGCAAAAGCCTCTCTGCAGGCTGTTTCTTCTCTCTCTTCTAAGCTAAATGAAGATTGCCTCTTTGACCTCCACGTTTGGTCATGTCAATCAAGATGACGGCGGCAGCTTGTGCTCCATCAGCTGAGAAGCGGCCTCGCTCGATCTTTGAAGTCGTTCCAGATTAGCACCATAAACCTTGCTTTTCAATTGTTGGGACAGCCCCATATCCCTGTGAATCCTCTTAGCGACAAGAAACACTGGGTGCTCGTAGATCTGCGAAGGGAAAGGTACTAATCCCAGAGCCATACCCTTCTCCTGCTGCTCACACTCAACCACTCACTCAGTCAAACCCTCGTTTTCACGCCCTGCAGAGGCAAACTGACTTCAAAGTGGCCCAGTGAGTCACCTGTGTGTAGTATCAGAGTGCTGTGCTCCACATTGAGCTGTGATCCGTGCTCTATGACGAACAGAAGGAAGGGATGTCTGATTGAATCCAAGCCCCTATTCTCTGCCTTTTCATTTCCTCAAAGATTTCTTCCTGCCACTCTATGATCCTCAGCCATCGTCTGTCTCTCCGTCTTCCCTTTCACTGCCACGGCTGTTTCTTCCTCCCCGAGCCTGTGCACATCTCCTGGAGCAATTCCATAGACAGTCACCCTCTCAGCTCATCCCGGGGATTTAAATAAAGAGGCCTCATCAGACGAGACTTGTTCTCATGATGCCTGGCTTTGTCTCCCAGGCTCTGCGTGCGCTCTAACTATCCCAAATGAGCACTGTTGCCTCCTCTTTTTTTGTTAACTGGAAATACATGTTTGTGTATCTGCCTTCTAAGTGTGTGTGTGCACAATCCTCTTACAGCTCGTCTCATCACATATTTAGTCCATGAGAGATCCTGGGTGGTGGGATATTGGTGCGGTGTGAGTGGGTTCAAATCGACACACTCATCGCTGCACATCGGCCTCCCGCCACATGTAGTCCAATCTGCACATCCTCCGCAAAGACATGCAGCTAAAGGTGAACACCACTAGACCAGAGTTTAGAATGTGTTATTTCTTTACGACAATAGCGCGGCTCAACACGGCTGTGTGGGAATTCCTTTTGTCAGTTTATATGCCAGAGTGCTCAGGAATGCATAGCCTGAAGTGCAAATGGCTCGCTGCATTGTGCTGTGAGCGGCTCTCTTCCTGTGATAGCAATGAGAGCGACTATACACTCAAGTTCAGTAGACAAAAACATCCCCTTTAATCCCATAGAAAGGAGCCTTGCTGTTTCAGACTTTATTTTTTAATGTATTTTCTGTTTGAGAATGAGAAGGCAGTCAACGTAGGTGGATTAAACCCTGTCACCCCCTCCTCAGTGTGTGTGTGTGTTCGTCCCTGTAGCTCTCTGTGAGTCACTCTTGCTGCTTGGGTTTTTCTTCCCATGAATAAAATATCTGGTGTGCTATCTATGAGTTATAGTGCACTTGTACCTCTGCCTATGGCTTCATCCGTCTTTCCCTCAGTCCCCGTCAGTGCTGTATGTGAAGAAGACGTAGCCTGCTGTGCCCCCTTGTCTTCATCACGTGTTTGTCTCCCAATTTTGTAACACCAGTGAGTCATTTGCAGATTTGGGTGAGACCGACACACGCATTGATTTGTCTCCTTTTTTTTTCCTTCTGGAATAAAATGGAGGCAGGCAGCTAAGAATCAAAGAGCCAGTTAACTGTGTGCCAGGCAACGTTTCCCACTGTTTGCTGCACCAGAAAATAAAAGAGCATAAATTA